GGGCGCGGGGTGCGCACGCGCATGCGCCCGCGCCCCCCGCGCACTCCGCCTCCCCCGCGGCACCCCACTCCGCGCCCGCGCGCTCCTCGTAGCTGCGCTAACATCACATGTCGTTGATAAAATCAGTCATAAGCTCGCTTGGAATAAATCGATTAGCGATTCTAAGACACGATAAAAATTACAAAACATCATGAGTGTCGAACCAGAGCAGGCGGAAATCGGGTCGCCCCCCATCGTCGTCCGCGGCCTCGGCGTCCCGGTCGGCGACGTCGCCGACCAGAGTCTCCTGGCGCAGCAGCAACGCCGCGCGCATCTGCCGCGCCTGTCGCCACACACCTCGCAAATCAACCACTTTATGAATGCATTCAAAAACTATTGTCAATCAAATAATAAAGTGGCGAGCTCTGTTGTCCCTCCGGATCCGACCTCCTCGTGCTCCTTTAGCTGCAGGTCCCGCTGCCGCATCTCCTCCAGCTGTGTCTTCTCCCTCACCATCTGCTCATAGAATGACAGCACGGGCTTGTTGTGTTCATGCAGAAATTGCTAGAAATGCAAAACACAAACAACAAGTGTAAAGTAAGTATTTGTACTTTATACAGACCTTTAGATGCGTTCTCATTATCTTTACAAAGTTGTGTACTTGTGCATTATCAAGATATTGTTTCACTTGTTTTGCTATAAGTTCTGTGTCCTCATGGTCTTGATTTAACTGCATGCTTACAACCTTGCTTACAACCAACACTTCAGCAGTGTCCTTGTTTAGTGGTCACTGATGCCATGGCATGGTGTTGCAAGACACCAGAGGAAATGCAGATGTATCACAAGATCAATGCTTGTATCCCACACTATTCAGTGGATCAAATTAAATCATATATATACCTGCGTATGGGTGGCCAGCTGATATATCATGACCTCCCCGCACATCTCCACCGCCAGTCGCTCCAGCTCCTGCAGTAATTTGTTCATGTTCTCTAGCGACAGCCCTCGCACACTTCGCACTGAAATTTTTGGAGGCCTTAAACAGAAATATATTATTTCAAGAACCAGGAAAATAAAAATTACATAACTAACTGGCAAAGAATAAAAAATAATAGTCTGGTATTGATATTATTGTTTCTGAAATGAATATTTCAATAATATCCTTACATAGCTTTTCTCAAAATTATGATAAGGAATCTACTAAATAGGATATAAATATAGAATTAGTCAGGACACTCACTTATCCGGATACAGAGGACAGCACTTGAAGGCCAGCGTGAGGGAGCAGTGCGCGCCGGCAGAGTCGTGCAGCGGCAGCAGCGCCAGCGTCACGTGCAGCGGCCGCCAGCCCGCCGCCGTATGCTCCTCCTCGCTCCAAATACCCTCTTCATCCCCAACCTCCACCACTGACTCCCCATATATTGACTGCACCCATTTAATTCGTATTCAATATCGCTTTTGGAAATGCTAAACACTGACTTCACAGGCCCTAATCAAAACCAGCAGTAGTTAGTTGATTCCCAGTCGGTTTGGATTCGGATAACTTCCTGTTTTGTATCAACTGTCAAATTTTGTATTTATATCCCATAAGGTAAAATCTTGTACCTTACTCAGATTTTGTTTAATAGCAAATGAAAAGTTTGCAATACACTAACAAAAATAAAACTTTTTATAACCTTTAAGACAATAAGTTCATTAGTTTGACGTTCTTCCGGTGTGTCGTCGCCCATATTACATTAATACTGATAAGTTTCTTCTTTTTTCGCAGTCTTAAACTCCCGAACACTTTTTATAATTTTGATATCAAAGTTGTCTCAAATAAAAACAACAACAACCAACTTAAACTTTTCCCATCTCTCCTACTAGCAAAGAGTATATAAAAGCTACAACTTTTGAGTTTTACCAGTGTTGCCAATAACAAAATAAAAAATTAACCCGGCTCGCTCGCCTCGCCGCCGATTAAATCCTGGACAAAATTATAACTTATAACAACAAGGCACCACAATCTTTTTTATTTTGTTTTTGTAACACAATTCATTTACGTCAAGTGACTTGTTACAATTTCATAATTTTGTTTGACTTATTTCCACCGGTTCAGAGAGCCTTGTCCAGCCTTTTCTAAGCCTTGTCGGTCTATATTTGTTCTAGATAGTCTGATTAGGTTCTTATTGCAGGTTTTTGATTAATTTTTGACATTGACAGAGAGCAGTAGGATAACGCATACAATATTCGTTGAGACGGCGACAATGTTGGCCTAATTCCAACCACTTTGTATACTGGCAGACATATATCAGAGAGCTTATCACCGCATCTGGGTCCTTAGTCTAGAAAAAGAGACAATTCAGACAAAATCCTTGAAATGGTTAGGAGTTAGAAACGTCAAGACGCCTAGACCACCTGACACAGCAGCTCGACGAACGGTATGGCTCAGCGCGTTGTTGATTCGAAGTTCGGCATCTTTGAGACCTGACTGCAGGCATGTATTGCGGTTACAGACATTATTTGTGGAGGAGCACGAGGCATTGGCTTGCTGCTTCCGTTATGTCGGAAACAAAGATTTTATGCCCCTTACCCTGATTGATGGCTTGGTTTGGCAACAAAAACTACTAGTTTTAGAACAATACATAGGTTGAGACCTGTTTCTATCTGCTGTTATATCAGCAATACTAAGCGGAACTTTATTGGGGAGAGCATTGGTTTCCGCTTGATAGACTGTCATAGTAAAAAATGAGGCTGTTGAAAGAGCCTGAAAGAGGACAAATCCCGCCCGGGGATATGGTCCGAGATGAAGTCTTGCTCCTGTAGTTATGGGAGCTTATGGTGTCACTGGTGCTTAGCGTAGGGCCTTAACCATTAATACAGGGGATTAGAGAAGGCCGACAAATACTCGATATAGGCTACTTACGCTTGAGCACGGCGTTTAGGGACCGACTGCTTGATGCAGATGCCACGTATAGCTGCTTTAAAGAGCGCCAACACGCCGGGCATCAGTTATTTCACTAGAGAAAAAAGAATTGGAGCTAAGTAAAAACCGATTTCGTACAACTAGGACATCGTGGGCGAAGGAAGTCAAGATTCGGGTTTAAAGGGGTAGACAGGGATGGCAGGGTGGCAGGCGGGCGGGGGCGTATGCCGCGGCGGGCGGCGATCGCAGTCAGACGCCAGCTGCGGGCGGCGGCGGTCGGCTCGGGAGCACGATGCGCATGCTGGCCGCGTTCGCGCTTGCGGCCTGCTGGCAGGCGGCTCGCTCCGCTCCGCCCGAGGCGCGTCTCGCGCCGCGGAACTCTACACCCGCGCGCACGCTGCGTTGCAGTGACGGACTCGTGCTACCCGCCTGGAAACCCCTCGAAGACGTTCCGACCCTCGATATTGCCTTACGCGGTCTCGTATATTTTTTCGCACTCCTATATCTGTTCATAGGCGTCTCTATAGTATCGGACCGGTTCATGGCAGCCATAGAAGTGATCACATCGAGAGAGAAGGAAGTACGCGTTCGACGAAACGGCAGCGAGCAGATAATCGTGGTGCGAGTGTGGAACGAGACCGTCGCTAACCTGACGCTGATGGCGCTGGGCTCGAGCGCCCCCGAGATCCTCCTGTCAGTGATAGAGATCGCAGGCAAGGATTTCCAGGCCGGCGACCTGGGTCCCGGAACTATAGTCGGCTCGGCCGCGTACAACCTCTTCGTCATCATCGCTATCTGTGTGGCGGTCATCCCCGATGGCGAGGTGCGGAAGATAAAGCACCTGAGAGTGTTCCTAGTTACCGCGACGTGGTCGGTCTTTGCTTACGTGTGGCTCTATCTCATCCTTGCCGTGATTTCACCTAGCGAGGTGGAAGTATGGGAGGGCGCCGTGACCTTCCTTTTTTTTCCAGCCACAGTGTTGACTGCTTATATAGCAGATAGACGTCTGTTAGTTTATAAGTACCTTAAGAAAGGTTATAGGGTTAATGAAAGAGGTGTAATCGTAGAAGCAGAGGGTGATGGTTCCGTGGAAATGGCTTTAAAACCAGGAGACGAGTTTGCGACAGACGACGAAGAAGGTCGTGAATTAGAGAAGTCTAGAAGAGAATACATTTCGGTTCTTCGCGAATTGAGGAGACAACATCCACAGGAAGACTTGGAAACAGTGGAAAGGATGGCTTTAGAGACGTTGATGTCTCGAGGTCCCAAATCAAGAGCTTTTTATCGTGTGGCCGCGACTCGTAAGATGACCGGTGGTGGGGACTTTTCCCGCAAAATCTCAGAAAGAGCTCAAAGCGATCTCAGCGAAGTAAAAGCTGAAATACAACGCCGCGAGTCGGAATCTTTGTCTCCGGAACCCAAAGGTCCCACCGTTCGGTTCGATCCCAATCACTACACGGTGATGGAAAATTGTGGATCGTTCGAAGTGAGAGTGATCCGCAGAGGTGACTTGAGCGGCGAGGTGACCGTCGAGTACTCCACGGAGGACGGCACGGCGGAAGCAGGCTCCGACTATATCGCGGCACGCGGCCGTCTCGCCTTCGCGCACGGGGAGGCCGAGAAAAAGTTTTGCGTCGAAGTGATCGACGACGACGTGTTCGAGGAGGACGAGCATTTCTACCTGCGCCTGAGTTCCCCGCACGGAGCCGCACTCGCTTCGCCATCCACCGCTACCGTGGTGATTCTGGACGACGACCACTCCGGCGTATTCGCCTTCCCTCAGAGGGACTTCGAGCTGACGGAGTCCGTTGGCACATTCGAGCTGCGCGTGGTGCGCACGGCCGGCGCCCGAGGCCAGGTGAAGGTGCCCTACTGGACGGAGGACGGCACCGCGAAGGCTGGCGCGCAGTACGAGGAGGTGCAGGGCTTCGTAGTCTTCGAAAACAACGAAACAGAGTAAGAGGCAACATTAATCTTTTTGTGATTACCTACCTAATTACCCAGTAACTATGGTATGTGATTACTCCATTAAAACATTATTTCCTAAGGTATTCTACGTTTGGTAGTTACTATAATAGATTCATTCAATTAATGTGTCTGCCAACCCAGTGAAGGTATTTTGGAATGTTTGTGGCAGGAGAAAAGAATAGAGCAAAGTCGGTGTGCGGTAAAAAGCGAGCGGAATGTCGCCATCTCGCTGCGCTAACTCGGTTATGGCACCAAAATACTCGGGCCTTTGTAGGACTTCGAGTGAAGCCGCACAAATTGAGCTCAGGGCATTACAGATGGTGGTCGAGTGCGACAGGGGGCACTCTGCACTCGGCCGGGCGGGCGACCTTCATCGCGATGGACTTAACGCCGTGCCCTCTCGCTAACACCGTATCCGTGACGTAAACCGATTGCTAATTAATTTCGATATTTGACAAAATGAAAAGGATGATACAATTATTATTATTGTAATAAAATTGCTCTTAATGACTAGATACGTACTGATAGATCATCACGATCTTCGGTATTATTCACTTAACCATGACATTCATCCGCCGTGACTATAGTATTGAGACATCTTGATGTCATTTTCTTTTCTTCAAAAGTTGATTATATAAGAATACCTACACCTCTACACACGCCGCTACTTAATCACTTTTACTTCCGGAATAAGATAATCTAAAGGCTCTGTTTAATATTGACAGTAAGTTGGGTGTAATGTTTTGATTCATTTCTTTAATTCTATAAATAATTTTAGTGTATTGTAATGAGTTGGCATCGCGCGCTGCCAACAAATTGTTTCATTTCGACCGGCGCCGACGGCAGACTTGCGCTCTGTTACTAAATGTCAAGCGTCGAGAGTCGACCGAACAGAGGCCAGCGGATGGCAGCGTTGAGCTGAGACATCGTCGGGCCGTTCATGAAATCAACTACCATTGTTCCAATAGTAGCCTAAGACTAAAACCTGACACGTGTGTATGTGTGTGTGCGTGTATGTGTGTCTGCGCCTGCGTGTATGTGTGTGCGGGTATACTTGTGTGGGATTCAATTGATTTAATCTGTACAGGTAATAAAATTAGGGCGAATATGCCGAAATTGCGAAGCGAACGCTGCTGATAGACATTCACAGTTGCAGTTGCGTTCCCGAATTCGTCTGAAACGCAGAGAATTTCGAATACATAATAATACATTTTTTTAAATTGTTGTCTCTCCGTCATTATGTCCGTATTAATTAGGCGGAACAATATACTATAGTATATCACAATTATGACAAATTAGTTAAATCTTTATGCTCATGTCCATAAATTAAAATATATATTGAATGTTTTTTTTGTGTGATTATTATATTTCTTCCCTTATTACATATTTTAAATATGTAGTCTTCTGTAATAAGTGGTATAGTTTCTTATGTCTTGTATAATATAATATTATTGTTGCGAGGCGACGGAAGCACAAATACAATTCAGTATAGCGATGATGTAGACACGCCGCGCCGGTAGTTGTTGCTAGAAGCGGAGGCAGATCCAGTAAATTGCTTCTTGGCTCAATCGACTCCGTCATTTCCTGCGCCGGCTCCGGCTCCGGCTCCGGCGCCAGATAACGCTCACAATTAACAACTTAGCAACGCGAAACACGAAACGCAATTTGCAAAAACGATAATAATTGATTAGTTTGACAGTTCAAACTTTTGAAACATCGATTTTTTTTGCTGTCGTACTTAATTCACTGGTGTCACAACGAAAAAAAACATGCACGCGTTAGGCCTAATTTTAGTCCCCGATCCCTTACCACAGTTTTTTTATTAGGAGAGCCGAGTGGATTAACGGGGGGTCGTGTCACGCCGGGTTATTGAGTGCCGTGAATTTAGCCCGTTAATCGACTGACCCCGAAGAAAGGTCTCCGACATGTCTGAAATTGTACGATAACTAGATCGAAATAAACTTGAGTAAAGCCGTGATCTTTAGTTAGAGTTGTTAATTTATTTTGGAATGCTAGTGGTATAGTAAATTTATAATGTTAGTGCTAATGATAAGAGAACGTAGTACAAAATAAGTGTTAATGAACATAAAGCGCTGCTGTAAGGAGAGCTGCGAACGCGCATCTTCAGTTCGCACGCCCTTAATGAGCGGTTGCGGTGGACCGTGCTTCAAAAAATATACAGTAAACGAAGAAATTATAATACATTAATCTAATTTCCTGCAGTGACGGAGCTAGAGCAATAATTGATGTGGCCTTTGAGGTACTTAATTGCTGAACGGCCATTTTTTCAAGTCTAAATTCAATGTATTCCTTTAAATCGAGCCGCCAGCGATGGATTTCCCGACCCAGCCGCTATAGGCCTCATATTATAATAACACCGCTCCTTTTCTAATCAACCGGAAACCTAATTATAGTCCTTTTTCTCTTCCTAACGTTTTCTTATAATCAAAGGATGTCATTAAATGTAGGCAGCGAATGTGCAATAGCAGATGTTTATGGGCAACGGACGCTTCGTTTTTTCGGCGAATTCAGTTTCTCGTTTGTCACTGTATAATATATAAAAAAAATAAAAGCTACAAAGCTCAAGTAATATATCAACGGTGATGCACAGTCGTAACTAATTTAGCATATTATGTATATGTAAAAGTTAAATCAATTTTATATAAAATGTAGTTAGAAGAAAGCCGCAATGAAACTGCGCTTCCAAGGACGGTCATAAATTTATATGAAGTGAGCGTAAGGTGAGTGATCGATAGCATTAGTGATGCATTGGCCCTCGCCGTCCCCCGCACCGCTGTCCCGCGCCCTTCTCGCGCCCTTCTCGCGCCCCTCCCGCGCCCCTCCCGCGCCCTTCACAACTCTCTGACAGATGTTTCTATATGAATACCACATCACAAGATTGCTAATTTCTTCTGACTCTTCCCATAATTTTTCTCCATAGGATATATGCATGAGAAATCGAGCTGCTTGTAACTTGATCGAGCTGTAGCATGTACATACTGTGCGTAACGGAAGCTGTACAACTTATTGTTTTATTGCAGAAAGTTCATTCCTCTGCACATCATAGAAGAGGACAGCTACGAGAAGGACGTGCTGTTTTATGTGAACCTGGGAGAGCCGGAGCTAGTGGACGGTATGCTATAAAACTACTTTGTTCTCATTCACTCTCAACGCCTGTTCACCGTGTTACGTCGCACGCCGTGCACGCAACACGTAACACGCAACGCACGCGTGTCACGCATGCAGCACAATAATTCACTGTGTGCTGGTCATTGTCTTTCTTACCGGTAAACGGTGTTTCTATTAAAGCGATTAAAAGACAATAATTTTGTCTGGGTATCGTTGTTTATCGTCGATATATTTATTTATATTGTACTACTATTAGCCTCCGCCCTAAAAAAAAGAGATGTAAAATGTGCATTCTTGGTGCCTGGTTTTCTGGAGGCATTACGATAGAACCAATGCAAAGGAACATGAGTGCGTAGAACAAAAAAGAACAACTCGAATGTCAGCTTGTAAGATGCGCAATGCAAAAGAAAAATTGGGTCGGGTGGTACATTATGGTATCCATGAGATGAAAAAGTCGAGGAAAGCGCTTCAGGCGATGAGACACTCTCCCTCCCAATGATCCAGGTCACTGGGAGTAGATGTAGATGTCAAAAATCAGATTGGAATTATTATTGAAAAAATTATAATTTTCTTTTTAAATGTCGGATGCGTCACACCCCACCACAATACGGTTCCCGGCCACTACGACGACTAGTAAACCTTGAAGATGACGCTCAAACAGGAAATATTTTGTCGGAAATTTCGATGAATTTTGTATCTTCGTATGAACTCTATGTGCGATTTGTGCAGCGCGCCGATAGAGATCGGGCGTACCACTAATTAGGAAACTTGGGAACATAAACTTCCGTGAGATATTGACTTACGGTGAAGCAAATTCTGACGGCTGAACAGTTTAAACATTTTTCGTTGAGAATGATTTCTTCCTCTTCCTTTTCTTATTTTATATGAAATACCAGCAGATTTTTGTTAATTTACTATTGTTTTTTGTACCATTCCAAGTAAGTTTGTGCTGTGATATGGTTTACAACAATAGCAGAATGGCGGGATTCGTACTATCGACCATGTGATCGGAAATCCGTACCCTTAACTATTATGCTAATGGGGTTTCGAGACACATTAACGTTCAAGCTACGTTAAATAGAAATTTTCGTAAGTTTCTCAGTTACATTTACACAACGAAAGAGGTGCTGCTCAAATCTACAATAATAAATAATACAAATTCAGCCAAGGTTCCGTCAAAATATTTCTATATTAGCTTCGGGCTCATACAATGTGCGCAACAATTAAAATTATTAAGAATGTATTGCACTAAAACACTCCGTCTGTCCACTTTTATATAAAACATAATAAGGTAAAAAATATTTTGTATGTTTAATGTGTACTATATAATAATAACGTTATATGTCATTATTGTGATGTGATGTGAGTGGAGAGGAGAGGAGAGACGCGGTGTACTCGTGCGCACTCACTTAGCGACGCGACGCGACGCGACGCCTCCGTACCTGCGCTCTGCGCTCTGCGCTCTGTGCATTCACTTTGACGTTTTTTTTTCCGCCCGATTGACGTTGTCGTGTTGTCGTCGCCGCGCCCTCTCTGGCTGCCTTCCGTGCCTTCCGCACCACCTCTATTTCTCCCAAGTAAGACTCGCTCCTTCTCTTTTAATTAAATAGCGTTGTTTGTTTTGTCCATTGATTTTCTTCATATTTAGTTTAAACTTGACACAATACTTTAGCTTTAGCGCTTCAAAAGTGTCGTAATATTTTTATGAACTCGTACTGAGTGAGCGACGCTAGAGCTTTGCTAAGTCGAAACTTTCACTTTTACATCGTGTCCACCGTAACTTGTGATCGAGCGCCTCCTCGCCGGTCACCGGTTACCAGTCACAGCGTCACGTAGATGTTCAGACTTCCCGTAGCCGTAGCCACTGTCACATTCTGTTTTCTATTCAATAGCATTCAATAATACGTAGCTGCCAGTATCGCTAAGTGTGGACGCAACCATCTTCTATCCATCTCTATACGCAGCAGGAAGCCGGAGAAGGAATTATTATTTGGTTTATGATTACCATCTACTTTGGTAGACATTTGTAATGCGACAGACAGATTAGCAGACACGATGTAACGGCGCTCCATCCCGAAATGATTTCACATCTTCTACGGGAGAAAATGCCGGTAAGTCCCGAAGGCAAATTATGTGGCCGCTTTAAGTATACTTATGGTAAGTATAAACAGTTTAAAACTGAACCGTGAAACAAAATATATTTATTACACTCACGAAAGTAATCGGCTGTTATGTTTTGCTAAATTTAAAACAAATAAATACGGCAAACAGACTGCGGTGGGCACGGTGGTCGCGGGCGGCGTGGCGGGCGGGAGTCAGCCGAGCACCTGGTCGCGCTGCCGGACCAGGAGGCAGCGGTGGCAATGCGGGGTCTGCCGCGTGCCGGCGACCTCACGCGTGCGCAGCTTAGGGTCAAAGAGAGCAAGGAGTTTAAGGTTCCTCCCCTGTTTATTTACAATATCAAGTAAATTATGACTATTTATACCACGGCCTCTTTAGAATGAGGAGAGGCGCCCTCGACCCGGTCTACATGTGGCCTCCGTCACGTCTTGTTGCAGAGCACGGTAGACAAGCTGGTGCAGCGAGCGAACGCCTCCATCATAATCGGGACGTCGTCGTGGAAGGAGCAGTTCGCGGAGGCGCTGACGGCTAGCTCAGGTGGGGGCAGCCGACCGACGTGTGCCTTGAGTGTTCAGTCGCGATAAGAGTAGACGCAGGTCGCTGAGTGCGCGTCTCTTTGTTCGCAGGGTCCGACGAGCCTGAGACTTCGCCCTCGTGGTCGGATTACGTCCTCCACGTGATCACTTTGTTCTGGAAAATCATTTTCGCGTTCGTCCCCCCCACCGGTGAGTGGCTGCTCTGTGCGGCAGCGACAACATTTCGTGTATGAATACTTGATGACATTTAAACTTATAATACTTTAATATGTACAACAAGCGAGTTATGAGAAATCATTTAAAGAGAGGCTTTATCGTTTTACAGGAAAGATGACATGTAATATAATATATGTACATACTTATACTAATTATAACAGTGTATTTGTTGTTTTTGATGGTTGTGGTAACAGACATCGGGGGCGGGTACTTGTGCTTCGTGGTGTCAATCGTATGTATCGGGCTGGTGACGGCCGTCATCGGCGACGTGGCCGCACACTTCGGCTGCACGCTCGGCATCAAGGACTCCGTCACTGCCATCGTGTTCGTCGCGCTGGGCACCAGCATACCCGGTTTGCTTCACCTCATGCTTTTCATTTCACTACTTTACTTGCGTCTAATGCTAATAATTTCTCGTACTAATGTATAGTTAATTTGTTTTTCGGTGAAATATCTATTCCACTAAAGCAATATCTCGCGACTGTCACGAAGCGTCGCAGCCGCACCACTGCAATCCATTATGTTTCTAATTAAAAGCAGTCAGTCCCATGTACATAGAAACATAAAATGAAATGAAGTGATTGTAGTAAAGGGATAGGGAAAGATGTATAAGAAATGCGTGTGCGCAGACACGTTCGCGAGCAAGGTGGCGGCGATCCAGGACCGAACAGCCGACGCGTCCGTAGGCAACGTGACGGGCTCTAACGCGGTCAACGTGTTCCTCGGCATCGGCGTGGCGTGGACCGTAGCCGCCGCCGTGCACCGCGCGCGCGGCGAGCCCTTCCACGTCGACCCCGGCAAGTGAGCGCAAATATAATCAATCATGTGCACGAAATATAAACATTTTACTTTGATATTACATACACACGCCAATTTTATTCATCTATATATTTAGATAGTTAAACTCCATCTGATGTTCACGGTGATGCGATCGCAAGATGCGCTTTAATAAAGTACCCGCTCGCTATCGTCCGTCGAGCGGACTCGTGCGCTGACCGCATATTCAGGTGATTCCGATCGGTGGCTCGGCTGGCGGGAGTGGTCTCGGTACTTGATAAGCAAATCACTGATTGCCACCAACTTGTATTTCATATATAAATGGTGAATCATGTGAGGTTTGCGATCGGCCGGCGACCCGTGATGCGCGGTGCCGGCCGAGCGTCGGGCACGTAGTAAGCGATTGCGCGATCGGCAGCTTGGCGTTCAGCGTGACGATGTTCTGCTCGGAGGCGGCGCTGGCGGTACTGGTGCTGCTGCTGCGGCGGCGGCGCTCTGTGGGCGGCGAGCTGGGCGGCCCGCGAGGACTCAAGCTGCTCACCTCCGGCTTCTTCTTCTCGCTGTGGCTGATCTATCTACTCATGTCCGGCCTCGAGGCGTACGACGTAATTAAAGGGTTTTAAACTCAATAAATATCGGCCTTTAACTGAATTGTGTTCATCCGCAAATGAACTATTATAAGGTGAAAGTAACCGTTGTGTTCTGTTAAAGTTTATATTTTCACATTTAGTGCTATAGTAGTTATGTATAATAATAAAAGATAAAGATCTAAAAGTGTCGAAAAGTGTCGTGCTCAAATGTACAGCTTTAGAACTGTTGTCGTGTTTTCCTCTTCCTCTAGTCGTTTCACTTTCATAGTTCCATTAGAGATTAATGTAGCATTAAAGGCTGTGCTATCGAACGTCTAATTACATATATAATGTAAGTAAATTATAATTAGGAATAAGTAATACATAAATAAAGTAACAATAGATGTCATCACTTGCATCGATTTCGATACGTATTTTTAATAATTGTTAACACCCATCGAGATAGAATTAACCAAGATTTTATAAAAGCTTTGACGAAATACTCGTATCATATAAATAAGGCAGTGTGGGGTGAACCGATGTGCTGGAGACTTGATTGTAACTGGTGGTGTCCGGCCGGTGGTGTTATGCCCTTGCTACTAAATATAAGCTGAGTATGTGTTCATACGAATATCCTCCACTCTAACTATTAAGTCATATAAAATAAATTTATGAATCCTTCCTACTGCACTGCAATTCTTTCATATAATGCACTGTTTCTGAGACCTCTCTATCTCTCTCTCTCTCTCTCTAGTATCTATTGATTTTAATTAAACAAAAAATAACATAAGTATAGCCGTGGATCAGGCGGCTCGAGCAGCCAACAGCGACTCCAGCTGGCTGGGGGGAGGCGAGGCTAAACTTTCTTATCTATGACACTGAGTCATAGGACGCGGCTGCCGGCAACTACAAACTGTGCCCCATTTTATTATAGTCTAACATTATATTATAGTATACAAAACTAATTATGTTTATAAAAGCAGAAACAAAATTTCAAAGTAAAATTATAAAAATGGACATGATATATGCGCGAGGGAGACCCTGTCACTGTCACTGTCACTGTCACGTCGCATCGCATCTTTACATTTTTCTCAACACACGCTACGTAGTAAAAGGAATTGTGCAGCTAAAAAGTTTCTGATAAATTATTCACTTTTATATATAAATGATTGATGAGAAAAACATTTTATATTTATGTATTATAATATATAATAACAGCTTATATGGAATATATTTATACAAATATATTGTACATAGTTTGAGAAAGCTTATACAGCGTTATTATTGTTTACAGATGTTTTATATATTATTATTATTATACTCGTATGTAACTGGTTTGAGATCAGCCGACATTTATACAGAGTCATTGTTGTTGTGTACTGACTACTTTTAATTTTATATAGTTGTTATATTTAAATGGAAAGTGTTCAATGTGTCATTTGAGTCGTTTGTGAACTTTGTTTACTAGTGGCAGGTGCCACGGTGCCTACATATTTCTATAAGGTACTACTAATAAGTAATTCTCGGTATGTAACGGCAGCAGACGCGTCAACTTCGGTCAATTCTAACATTTCACCAGCAAAACCTAACGTAAAACACAATGTTCTTTACTTTGTATTTATCAAGCGAATGCTGGTAATAAAATAACTTGTACGACTTTCCAAGCTGGTAAATCTTAGGATTGACCTGCGTTTGTGCTTTTGCAGTAGCATATTGGTACATAACTCAAGTACGATAATGTCTTACACATTGTGCAATTAATAAACTGTATTGTTGTTTAGCTGATATATAAACACGGCTAAACACTCACATATATTCGTCCGGTGGCGGCACCGACTAGTTTCGAGCCCATTCCGGGCCCTTCATCAGGATGAGCGAGCAGTGAGCGACGGGCCGCGTCCGCGAAATAATACCAGTACCACTCATCCTGATGAAGGGCCCCCGATGGGCTCGAAACTAGTCACTGCCGCCACCGGACGTATATACGTGAGTGTTTAGCCGTGTTTATATATCAGTTTAGTATAATGTCTCACGAAAGTTTGAATGTATTGTTGTTATTCTTATTATATACACATTTTCATATACAAATTTAATTTAATTTGCACTAATCCTGTCTAAGTATTTAGTCGCACGCATGGCGGCCACGTGTAAAAGTGGACGCAGCCAGTTTCGCCGTGGCTAGTCGGCAGGTCAGCCAGTCGATCACTTGCAGCTCACTTTGAGACGCGACGTGACGACGTGCCCTCATTGTCATTGCATCGCCGCAGACGTCGCACAGTGGGCAATTCTTTCGGTTTTCATAGACTTGTTCGTCGCACATTTTTATGTATTTTTTTTGGTTGTCTCCATAAAAATGTACAGGGACATAGTTCTAACAACGACGTATGCATCGATTTAATAAATATTACTATATAAGTCATGTATTTAAGTCAAAAATAGCAGACGACAATGTCTATGAAAACGGAAATTACTAACCAGTGTGCGTTGCCTTGCGCAAAGCAAATGAATCGAGCTGCTCGTACGTTATTATTATTAAGTGTAGGTAGACATATCCAGTGTTTCAGTCTGAATCTCGGGCGATATATTCGTTCTAGCGAACAGGAGATTCGTAAGCGGCAGTGCAGTGCGCTGTCTCATAATTATCTATGCTACGAGTAAATATAAATATTCAAAGTATTTATTTACGAGGTTGACTGTTTATTGTGATTTGAATAATGTTCCACTTAGTTATTTATATACATAAATACATACATACATACATATATATAGGTAGTTATGTTTTATTGTATTTGTATGTAATTGTTTTCGTCCAGCATTAGAGGCTAGTGGCTAGCGGCTAGTGGATAGCGGCTAGTGGATAGCGGCCAGTGGATAGCGGCCAGCGGCTAGCGGCTAGCAGTAAGAAATGAAAATGTTTTCATGTTTGTAATAAAGTTGTTATCACTAATATGTAGGTACTAAGTTTATTTGTTATTTGCGAACTGCGAGTGGTTTCTTAGATTTTGATTATTTTTTAATATTCTTTAACAAATGCATGAATTATTTTTATAATAATATTGAGAAAGTGCGCGCTTTCGTAGCGCAGACTGCGGGGCGCGGGGCGAGGTGCGCGGGGCGCGGGGCGCGGAGATATTGTCGTTTTAGTGTTTTATACAGGTAATAAAAATAGTATGGATAAATGATTAAGTACATAATGTGAATACAAATAGAGATTTCATTATTGAAGATATATGTTTGTTTCAATTGCATTGATTAAGTTCGCAATTACAACGCCCTCCACTCCTCCACTCGCGCCTCTCGCCCTCGTCCTCGCCCTCCACCCACTGCGCCAACGCCGGCGACCGGCCTCTGTCGTCGCATCTGTTTATGCCTCTTATATAATGCGCAAGTGAAGGAGGCAGGCACAGAGGCACGCAGACGCCGACGCCCGGTGGACTGCTGAATGATTTGTTACAGCGTGCGATGTGTTTAGTACAAAAATTAAAGAATATTTATATTCAGTGTCTGTGTGTGTTATTTCAATATTGCCATCCCTCACATTATGTTTGAAAATAATAGAGACAGCAATAGTGTATATATACAAGTACAACTTTATCGATGGCGCCACGTCAGCTTCAGAAAAGTTTGCGATGTTGTGTATAGCAGCAGAAATCGATTATACTTAGTTATTTACAAATTGTTATCAGCAAGGGGCAAAGTGCCCACTGTGCGGCGGCGGCCAGCGACCTACACCTACATCTACTGGCCGAGGCTGATTATTATTTCAGAATAATATGACACCGGTATTATAAGCAGCCAAATCGACCTATTAAAGTGTACAATGTAAACAAAGTAAGCTTGCAATCTGCACACAAAAAGACGAGACGCGACGCGACGCCTGAAAATGTTTGTTAGAGAGTCGTTCGAGGAAATAAATGATTCACTACCTTCGCCGCATCCGCACCCCCCCCCCCCCCCCTCCACCTCCACCTCCACCTCGACACTACTCAATATTGTGTCCTATTACAAAATACATCATCTTAAAAACAAAATGTTTAAGAAAAAAAGTTGTTGTGTTAGCTAATTAACAGACAGAGAATCTCTTTAGTAGGGACTGAATAAATTAACCGACTTAGTATTACGTGGATCTGATAACTTTTTACGTTAGAAAAAACTTAGTTGCGACTGGGCTTTATTTGACAAGTTTTTTTTTGTACTTTTTATCACAACAACTTGGGAAATGTTAGATTTTAATTTATAATATTTTGGCAAACGTGGAGATCCCGGTGGTTTTATTTGCTACGTGACTCGTAGTTGTAAGGTGTCGCGGTGTGCGCGGTGTCGTAGCAGAGCTGTAGGGGTGCCGTAGCGCTCGAAGGCAATAAATTACGCCGCAGAGCTTAATGTCCTCGAAATAAGAAGCACATTAGGAACTCGCGTATCTTTATTTGTACTGTTATATATTTACATATACATGTAGTAAAAAAGAGTTATTTAAAAATTAAAAACAGACACTCCAATTTATTTATATGTATAGGTTTATAGTTTGCAAGAGAAAAAGTGAGTGAATTTGCCCATAGAGATCCAAAACTGCATATGCGTTACCTACCAGTAGTCGACGTAGGAGGGGACAGAAATTAATATTTTCCTTTAATAAGCGTTCCCTCCACCATCAAATCCATTTTTCCTTCACATGCTCTCCTTATAAAAAAAAGAGTGGGAAGGGAAAGAGTACTAAAATTAGGTCTCCGACACGTGTGGTGAACGGATGAAACGCGGAATTGCTTCTCGTGGTGTTGCGCCGGGCGAGGCGAACATTTCGGGTAGATGTTGTTGCTGGCGTCTACCACCTTTGTTTTATTTACATCGTCTAACACAATCGTCAAAACAAACCGAATTCTCGAAAACAAATAAATGGCTTTATGAATGTTGATGGAAAATTCATTGAATTTCAAATAGAGTTTATTCGTAAATCTGGTTTGTTTGTTCGCGGGTAAGTAAATACAATAAATAAACATTGCGTGCAAACACTGCGCCCCCTCCCCTAGCCCCGTGCCCCACCTCGTGCGCCCCCCTCACACGAGACTCTCCTCACACAAAGCAACAGCTCTGGTTTAATAATATTTTGGATAACATTTTATTATAATTTAAAAGAATTTTAATGTCAAACAAGAGTGAATAAATATAAAAGAGAATGATGTATGTATGTAGATTTGAAAAATGTATTCTTAGATGTTTTGTATACGTTGATAGTGTAGTGTGAATGGAAGAACATTAACAAAGGAAATTTATGGCGCGTATGTGAGCGGCAGTGATTGTCAATGCCGCCTCAGATGGTGTTATACCATCCGGATTGGTGAAATACTCAAGAATAGCGATATTAAGAGCTGTGGAAACCGAGGTGTATGTATGTGTAGGTGTATGAAAGTAGAAGAAGCGAGAGAAGTACATCAGAAGCGTGTTAGGTAAATGCAGGTCCCTTCTCTGTGTCTATGGGTTACGGGCGTGAGTTATATTGTTGCTGTTGTTTTGACATTATTCAGAACTGGTTAAGTCGAAACTGATGTGTTCGATGTAAAAGGGTTCACATGGTATCAGTCGAAATTCGTAAGCATAAATAGAGCTAGGCCACGAAACCAGGTAAAGTATAAAAATGAATGTAATAATTGAATGTTACATAGGAATGAGAAACACGCGAGGGAGAGCGAGGCTCGTGTCGGCGGGGCCGAGGCGCGCCGGCCATTGCTGGCCACACGTCCTCCGGAAACTACTTTATGTAGTGTACATTCATTGAATTCCACCACCGGTGATGTTATAAAACATTCACATGTTTTTGCGCCGGAATGTGACAATGTTTTATCCGTGCATGCCGCCACTGGCCGAATGCATTTTACCGCACGTTAGGGGTGACTAGACCAAAGTCAACCAGGCTGGCCAAGTGGGGGTTCGATGACTTTACATGTACCTTTAAATTTCTTCTCAGATATGCAGATTGCTTTGAAAATCGGGTTAATTGATACATGACGGGCTTCGAACCCAGTACCTGCAGATTACAAGTGAAGTGCTGAGCCACCGACGCTTATGTATAAATGTAACCTTGACCTATTCGATTTGTTGAAAAGGGATTAATATATTATTATGTTTAAAAAGCAAGCCGAGCAGAATTCCTTTCATAATTGCAAAGTTCCGTGTTCAAGATTCAGGCCGCGCCGGTGCTCCCTCTTAATCGCTAACCGAGGGAGAGGCCGATAGGGGGAGAGGGAGGTGTAAGATGGCTGTCGACTGCGAGGCTTCCCCCCCCCCTCACCCCCAAGCTAATTGAATCAACAAGAAAATCCCTTTTGTTTTATTTTGAGAAGGCGGAACCGAGCGCATCATTACACATAAACTGTTGTTTTAGTTAAAACATAATACTGGTTAAAAATTAATCGACATCACAGGGGACCGAAGAGCTGCCAGCTACCTCGGTCCAAGAATTAGTTTAGCTGTCCAAAGGGAGAACGCTGCCAGTATTTTCGGGACCTTGCCTAAAGGGACTCCTTTTAATAACATATTTTAGTAAATTATTCGTTTTTTAATATTTTATTTTATATCATAGATTTAAGACTATATGTAATTATAGAAATAAGGATGTATAATAAATTACTAATACTGGTTATGTACAAAAAGGTATGTGTATTATGTATTTAATGAGTTTCTAAAAAAAGGAACATAATAGTGTAAGAGCGGACAGGAGTCCGACCTCAGTCCGTCTCATTATCACATGTGACATGGCATGTGTTTTTTATGTAGCTATTTTTAAATGAATTCATTTTAATAATCTTTTTTATCCCCTTCAAGCGGACACGCATGTGATCACATTCTCTGTTTCACAAATGGATAAATATAACAAAATCATCATCATCTTGCCCAGGGAGACCCTGCGGAGATGCGGCTAACTGCGTACCACACTTCCCTACATCTCATCAGCCGTCGTGTCTAAATTCACTTTGCATAATAACAAAATAATAATAAAAATAACTAAATAAGTTAAACCTCTACCGAGCATGTAATCATGGATTTTACCTCTAAGTAAATATGATATCAGATCTGTTTTATTAGTACTAATAATAGTACTAGTACATACACTACTCCTATTAGTTTTATTTTATTTCAATTCTGCGCTGACGCGGACGCGAAAGGAGGTTGCTAGTGTTTAAAATATGCTTATTAATTATGTATGTGTTCCAAGGCGAGCCTCCCCATTCACAAGTTAATTTATAGTGGTAAACAAACAGCTTACCAGAAAATAATCTTATTGAGGCAATGGTATATTTTGGTAAGGTAATGTCTATTCCCGCGCCACCGCCTCCGCCACCGCCTCCGCCTCCGCCTCCGCCACCGCGTCCGCCTCCGCCTCCGCCTCCGCCTCCGCCTCGGACACGACACGCATTACACGACTAATTTAATAAAGCGGTATATTTAATATTTTCTGCCAAACAACCGCAAGATCTGACGACACTAATATTTTCTTAGTTATTTTTTTAGTTTTATTAGCGAATTTAAAACGTCATCGCTATGGGCTCCGGTGGCATGCCTCGGTTTTAACATATCAGTATGTACACCTATCATACAGTTTTAGACAGAAGGTGTTTGCGATCTCAAAAAAAAACAATACACTCGAACCGATGATAATCTCCGTCTTTTTGCAGTTGGCTAAAAGTATAATTTAAAAACTACTTTAAATAAGACCCTATTAAAGGTAGCTGCTCTCCATAAACCTAGCCCAGATCGCAAGTCGGCGACGCCCCTGTCTCCATCTATTTGATGAAGAAGAGCCCTCGTTTATCCCCAACGTCACATTCATCGAGGAAATGTGGAAATATTTCAACTCAACGGCCGTCTTGTGTGTGTGTGGTTGTGACGCTGCGATGTTATCATTTTAATTGTAGCGTTTTGTTTACAAATGTATCGCGGCGGTGGTGCGGGTGCGTGGCGGCCGGCAGCGGCAAGGATAACTTCCTCGTGGTAGCAAGGCCGGCGGCGGGCTCTGCCCTGACTCGTGCAGTGCGGCGACGCACACGGGCACGTGCACACCACTGCTCCTCTGCACGATTTGCGTCGCGTCGCGTCTCACTTTGTGTCATCCGTAGCAGTGGGATTATAAAAGTAATAGTTATTTCGTGCTGTGATAAAAATAATAAGAAACGCAGTTGATTCCGCTTTCACTAATAATTATTATAGGATTTCGATAGACCTTTTATTTATGCGTCGTAAATAGTTCCTGCTTAGGTTTTGTCGATTTTGCCATATACGCCGTTATAGGCCTAGGTAACACAGCAGCACGGCGTCGCGTCGCGATGTTATATAGTCCATAGCTTGTCTTAATCTTAGGTTTGTCATTTTTGTCAACTACGTATATTATCTGGTCGTATTACTATAAAACGCGATTTTGATTCACTGAGATTAATGTAATTCGCAGGAAATGTTACGACACATATCATTTCCGGTGAATTGAATTATATTTAAGGTAACAAACATACATAACATTTGCATCAAATTTCCTTTTGCCTTTAAAAGTAGATGAAACATAAATCTATAGATTACAGTTTGATAGTTGACAGTGAGAAGCGAAATTAAAGGGTGAAGCTACAATAATTCGCATAGAGTTGATATGGTTAAAGGGCTAATATATTTGTTTTTCGTAATTTTTCCTCGAAATGGTAAGTTTTATCAAAGATGATCTTACACTGAGTTATTCATAAAATTCCCTATCAAATACTTCTTCTTACTTTTCTTAAAGATCAACTATATCTGAGATATTGCGTTTGAAACAGTTGGAAAAGTCGTAGTTATTCCAGGCGACCGTGATTTCTTCCATGTGAAAGAACATTTTTGAGAAAACTCGGAAGAGTTAAATCCGTTCTTTTTCTTGCAACGGATTTCTGAAAATCATTAAGTATTTCTGCTGTAGAAATAACATTTTTGTAAAAAAAAACATTAACCCGCACCTCATACCTTTTTGGGATCCGTAAAGAAAAATAATTTCTTAGTTCTCGGCTATGCAGTTGCAGGAACATCTATCCAAAATTTCAAGTCTCTAAATGTATCTTGATTTATCAGAAATATTGACCCATCCATCCATTCAAAGATGCAAAGAAAGAAGGATTCTAATTCCCGACAGAGGTTCAATGGGGCTTTTCCGTTTTGACATACAATGGTGTACATTCCTACTAATTTCAGCTCTATGCGATTTTTTCTACGTACTTCGCGTCGATCCGTTGAAATATAATATTTACATAGAAGAGAAAGCATTCGGAATGGCAAGGACTTTACTGTCAGCTTGCTACTAATATAAGTAATACGAAATTCTTCCATTTATATTACATCGTCGACATTTTCTGAAGCAATTCCCGGCGAAACTCCTCCAAGGCTTTATGGCTAGAGGCGATTCTTTTGCCGCATTTGTATATCGAGGATATTCTGCGATTCGCTTAGATTTTATGTAGACTCGGCAACTGTCCTTTTATGACAACCGGAATAGGGCGGCGGCGCCTCGCCTCGGTGAGCTTACAGCCACTATACACTGAAACGAGAAATATTGTTCGCAATCGCCTTGTGAGACTTGTGAGACTGTGTGATCGCTTTAACGGAAGGAAATAAACTAGCGCGGGTTACAACTGCAGTGACATTTGTATTAGTTTAATATTATGTAACCGACAATGATTAGAATGACTGTATGCTTTAATACAAACCTCGTGCTCCTGATTATGAATAAAGGAAACTTAGTAAACTTGATCAGATTACGTTCTTAAGTTAGTTCTTTTGCAAATAAATTAAGAATCCTTTCTTCTCAAAACAGATTAATACATTACAGATTAAGTTCAATTAGGTATTTGTTAATTTAAGTAATTTGTATAAATAAGTTGTCATCTTATCTGGAGTGAAGGAGTCGCCTAGGTTCGTACAATAATGGTGGCCGCGCAATGGACTGCTATCTTAGTGTTTCAACTACTCGTCCACAACGCCAGCTGCGGCCATGATGCACTTGCTGCACACGCCGACCAGCCTGAATACAGCGACCACAATGATCATAACGACCATAGCGACCACGGCGACGACAGTGCTTACGGAGACCACGGTGAGCAAAGTGACCACAGTGCCCACGCCGGCCAAAGGGAAGGCACTGTCCATGGCGACCACGGAGACCACAGTGCCCACGCCGGCCAAAGGGAAGGCACTGTCCATGGCGACCACGGAGACCACAGTGCCCACGCCGGCCAAAGGGAAGGCACTGTCCATGGCGACCACGGAGACCACAGTACCCATGCCAACCAAAGGGATCGCATTGTCCATGGCGACCACGGAGACCACAGTACCCACGCCGACCAAAGTGAAGGCACTGTCCATGGCAACCACGGAGATCACAGTGCCCATGCCAACCAAAGTAAAGGCACTGACCATGGCGACCACGGAGACCATAGTGCCTATACCGACCAAAGGGAACGCATTGTCCATGGCGACCACGCAGACCACAGTGCCCACGCCGATCAAAGTGAAGGCACTGTCCATGGCGACTACGGAGACCACAGTGCCCATGCCATCCAAAGTGAACACAATGTACACCGCGACCACGGAGACCACGTCGCCCATGCCAAACAAAATAAACACAGTGCCCACAGTGACCACGAAGACCCCAGCGATCACGGCGACCATAATGGTGACCACAGCACCAACACACCACAGCACATACACAGCACCCTTGGCGACCATGAGGTCCTCAGTGAACACAGCGTCCAAGGTAACCACAGCGACTACGGCGAACACAGCGTCCACGACGCACACAGTGACCATGGCGACCACAGCAACAAAGGTGATCACGGCAATCACGATGCCCATGGTGAGCGCAGCGTCTCCATTGGTCATAAAGACCACAACGTTCAAAGTGGGCCCAGCGCGAACTTCGGTGGGAGACTTTTGGAGCGGTCAGAGCATATCCATGCGACGACTACGAGCGGGGGCGTCCGGGGCCGGCTGGCGTGGGACGGCAATTACTTCGCCTTTCTCGGCATACCCTACGCCGCAGCGCCCACGGGATTGTTGCGTTTGAAGGTGGGGCTCCTTAGTATTCCTGTTAATCATAAAATACTTTGCGTACTTGTATCTGGTAATATGCACGAACTCTGCCATCCCATTCTTATGTACTCTTCGTAACTTCCAATATGTAGATGACCTTCTTATTATAAGAACATTTATCTTCTGTACATTATGTATTAAAACAATATCTATATATAGTCTATTTGATATATAAAAAAGTAATTTAATTGTAAATTATTTATTGGTTATGTTGTCAGGCACCGCGACCCCCACCCGCATGGAACGGCACTATGGCTGCCGAGCGCACGGTCGTCTGTCCCCAGCAAGGCGTCGGCGAAGAAGACTGCCTCGTGCTCAACGTTTTCGTTCCTAAGATAAAGGCGAAGCGTGCGCTTCCCGTGCTGGTGTACATCCACGGGGGCTCTTTTCGTTACGGCGCCGGACCCACCCGAGGCGCTGCGCCGATCGTCGAACAAGGCGTTATCTTAGTGACCATGAACTATCGCCTCGGCCCGCTGGGCTTCCTTTGCCTCGGTATCGACGAGGCTCCGGGCAACGCGGGCTTACAGGATCAGTTAGCGGCCTTGAGATGGGTAAAGACAAACATAAAAAATTTTGGTGGCGACCCAAATCGTGTAACCATATATGGGACAGATTCCGGAGCTGCGTGCGTCGAACTTCTAGTCCTTTCTAAGGCGAGCACTGATTTATTTGCGAGAGCCGTCATCGAGTCCGGCTCCGGCAGTGCGACGTGGGCGATCGATGATCGTCCGCTGTGTACCGCCAAAAACTTTGCGAAAGCATTTTCCGTATCCGAGTTGGAGCATCCGCATAAGTTATTGGAACTGTACCAAGAGGTTCCGGCGAGCTTGTTAACCAGAGTCAACGAGAAATTCGCAAACACCTTTACCGACGGCAGGTACGGCTTTGCGCCGTGCGTCGAGAGACCCTTCGAAGCTGTGCAATCTGTTATAACCAGTCCTCCGTCCGAAATTATGAGAAAAGAACCACCCAGTGGAGTACCTTTAATGTTTATATTTGCGTCTTTGGAAGGTTTGTTTCTCAAAAGCCGAGAATATTACACGCTGAATTACATGAACAGAATGGAAGCGAATTTTGCAGAATTTTTGCCTTCCGGCCTCAACTTCGACAACGAAATTAAAAGAAACGAGAAAGCTGCGGAAGTGCGACGTTTCTACTTTGCCAAGGAAACCATAGAGAACAATAAGTTAGGATATTTGTGGTATTTCGGAGACAGCCAGATACTGCGTGCGGTGGTCGGCGCGGCGGAAGCGCACGCACGGCGCGGCCGCCTCGTCTACCTTATGGAGTTCGCATACGGCGGGGGGATGCGCGCGCGTGACCCACTGTACGCGAGCGTGGCGCAGAGCGCGCCGGCGCCTGCAGGTCACGCCCACTTCAATGCTCACGTTATATTGAACAATACTGTTCAATCGGACAGCGATCAATTGGCAAGCGACAGGGCGGCCACACTCTTGTGTAATTTCGTTAAATATGGGTAAGTATCGTAAATGTGACCAGTGATTATTGTCAATACTTTGACAAAACATGTAAAACCATCGCTAGTTAAGATACAGAAACACAGCAAGAGTCTTTGAACCGGTACAAATAAAGCTATGTCCCTAATGTTGTAAAAAAAACAAGAAGCCCAAGCAGGACAAGGTAACCAGAACATTTAGATAATCCTTAATTAGGTATGTACTTTTCCAGAGAGCCCACACCAAACGTGACGGAAGCGCTGCCGGTGCGCTGGCCGCGACTGCGCCCGCCCCTCGTGCCCTACCTGCGCCTCGGCGACGACCTCCAGCTCCTTGAAGCGCCCTACAGCGAGAGGATACAGTTTTGGAAGCATTTATTTTACGATTTCGGAAAACGACTATCGGATTATGAACCATATTTTTGCTAAAAAAATGAAGGAAACTTTTTTATTTTATACTTGATAATAAAGTGAAATTATTTGATGAATATTTATTATTAGAAACTTGTACTTTCTCGAACACAAATGAGCGAAGGCATTAACAATAGGAATTTTAATATTACATGTTAATAGTACAAGTATTCATACTCGATGTCGTAGTCGGCGGGGGCGTGCGCCGAGCCGGCGGGGGCTGCGCGCCGCGTCATGTACCCCTCGAGGTCGGGGTACGACTCCAGCAGCATGCGGGCCTGCTTCTTGGTCATGGTGCCGTTGATGATGATGTCCCGGAAGGTGGCATTCTGCATAAAATTCCTGTTGACCACCCGTATCTGGTTGAGCTTCTTCATGAGTGCGGCGTCCACCTTGATAATTTCCATCTCGTGGATGTCCTTGACGGACTGCCGATCCTTGCGGTACTGCTTCTTCAGCTCCTTGATGAACCTCTTCAGCTGCTTCGTCTTCTTCTTTCTCATGGCGGTTCCGTTCTTGTACGCTCTGTCCAATATTTTCCGTATCTCTTTTATGATGTTCTGAATGTTCTTCTTGATTTTGCGCTTTCTCTTATCTCTGGCGCGCTTACGTTTTCGTTTCTCCCGCTTCTTCTTGCGCTCGCGGCGCTCGCGTGAGTTGACATCCCGCACCCGTTTCTCCTCAGAATCTGTCTCGAGGCTGGACTCCTGGAAGGAGATGTCGAAGCCGCCGTACATGTCGTAGGTGGAGAGCTGCAGAGCGCAACACACGAAGGTGGTGCGGCCGCAGGAGAAGTCGCCGCGGTAGATGCGGTACTCCGCCTCGCACTCCATCGGCAGCATGCACGTGCCCCACGGCATGTCGTGTTGGTTGGGGTCTCCGCACGGCACGCCCCATGGCCCTTCAACATCGCCATTGGTCTATTTAGGTCCTTACTTAGAAAGTAGTACTTATGTACACAGCATGCAAGTACGTCTTACTTATGTACTTACTTTAACAACCTTATTTGACAAACAAAATACTCCTATAAAAATACACGGCGTGAAGTAATATTTATACACGTATATTAGTTTACTTTCGTAAAGCACAAAGAAGAATAAATTTGAATAGACTTAGATGTAAAAATAAGTAAAATAAATATAAATCTTAGAGTGAGATGATCGCTGCCGATGTTCTGATATCTTAGTTAGGGCAACTATAAACGAATCATTTATCATTTACCAGAATTAAATCAAAGCCAATTGAAATACATTTAGTCCAATTAAACAAATGGACGATAAAGAAGATAGCGGATGGTGAGTGGAGAACGTAGGCTTACTCGCGGCGGCCATGTTGACGGTGTCGCCCTTGGGGATGGAGGAGTTGAGCGCTTCGAGCTTCTTGGCCAGCCAGATGTCCTTCCACTCCTCCTTCCAGTTCTGCATCTCGACGCTGGAGCTGGAGCTGAGGTAGTCCTCGGCCTCCTTCTTGTGGCGGCGCGCGAGAGGCGAGGGGGGCCGGTACAGGTTCATGATGGCGTCCTGTTGAAATCCGCTGGGCTCCTCCTCCAGCCCGCGCGCACCGTACTCGCTGACTCGAGGCTTTACAGTTAGACTCAACGCGCGCGCCTTCATTTTTATTTTTTTTAATGTTTTCACATCATCCGCTTTAAGATAATTGTTTATTATTTCATTTCTGTGAAACGGATCGGTGATCACGTCTTGAGCGTCTTTCGCCACATTCCTATTGCTAAATAATATTTCAGGATCAGCAAAAGGAATGATGAAAATAAGATCTATGATGGCGGCCAGTAGAAGGCAGTTCGACACGGAACTCATTGTCCGCGGGACAAACCGCGGCAATGCGCGCCAACTCTCGCCGCCATAAAACCTCTACAACCATAACTTATTTAAATCACAATAATAACTTCTTGTTATTTCACAAATTTTAATGGACAATAAATTTCAATAACTATATAATGTTGTGTACGTGGTGTGGTTTACGTAAACGATTTACTTGGTAAATCATCTTTGAATGTGTGCTGAATGCTGACGGAACAAGGAGCACCACCGCCATGTCGCCACCCCGCCCAGTACACAGACGGTGCCTCATGATTTATAATCACTTTTGTCGGTCGTACTAACAAACTTTCAAACATGTTAAATTTTATGTTTAGATGCAATTGCTTGAAGAAAAGGGAATTAATAAAAAAGTGTAAAATACTTCTTATAGCTACTTTTATATACCTTGACAGGTGATCAGTTCTGGCGCAAACTTTTTATGTACTTTCTTATGGGGCTTATGAGTGCTAGATGGAAAATTGTGTTGTTATGAACATGTGTATGAAATAAAATTTGCTGTATTATTTTATTAGTTTTATTATGTCAATCCTATAGCAGGCCGCTGTGATCTCACAGTGTGCAGTCTGCAGTTCCCTTTGTCCACCACACTGTGGGCACCTCACAATTGTGTATTGAAGCCTAAGCAATAACTTCAACAACCGCTTCTGCCCGCTCCAGCCACACCAGGCGCTCCCTGTTCTTGTCCAACGGAAATGTCTTTGATGTTTCACAAGTGTTACACTTCCATTGCAAGGACTTTCTTTTATTTTTTGTTTTCAATTGCATTTTGGCAGAAACACCATTGACAAGTATGCAACGACACTTTTTACAAACCTGCCTTTTTATATCCGGATGTCTGAAAACAAAATTCTCACATGAGTTACTTCACTTATGTACAGTAATAACATTTTTAAGCTTTGAACAATTTCTGCTTTCTGCAGATGCACTTGATTTTATTTATAATGTATATTACTCAGTGATCTGGATAGCATCACATTCTTTTTGGTCGTCTTATGACGATTTACAATTCGGAACCAATTACTGAAAGTTAACGAAATAATTGGAGTAAGCATTGGCACTTACTAACTAACTTACGAACATTTTTAAGACATTTTTCTTTCCAATATTGATAATGAGGTTCCCATAATATGAAGATAATGCGGGATTTTTACCCGCCATATATTTACTTATCTAAAACAACAGAATAACAATTAAATAGTGTAGTTGTGCAGGAGATTCATGAATAATATGTGCCCAAAAAATTATTTACATACACAAATTTTTACATAAACTAATTTTCCTTCTTTGGCTGAAAACTATTAATCGAAAATAAAATTAAGAACTAACTTGATATAAATAATTTACTCGCTGAAAAGAATCATTCCCATGTACTTTACGCATTTCAATGTTATCGTATTATTAGTAATGTTACGAAAATGTAGTTATAACACAAAAGTGTAGTTTAAGCGTGTTGTTTTGTTATTTTGACATTGACGTGACAAGTCGCAAATAACATCACAGCAGACCCAGACCATCAGACAAGACAAAAATCTATTTGTCAATCAATACACTTGCTGTCAAAGAGTATACAAAATATGTTTTGGACTATGGATGTAATCTTATCGTTCCAATTTATGTTTCTGTTAAATTCCGATGTAGTGACTTTGTTTCAAGCCTCAACCAACATTATTTCATAATAAAATAATTTTACATCACTGCGTTTTAAAAAAAATAACTAAATTGCGACGAATGGAAGTTAACATATTTTTTGTTTCCAGATTTGCTTTTTCCCACATCCCCATCTTATATACTCTTTGTTCCACATTTTGTTGACAGCAAAGAGTATGACAGGTTGAGGTAGACAGGAAGGCTGGCTGGTGGTAGAACGTCCTGTCATTGTCATTCATTTCACATCCTGTCAATGTCAATCGTCATTGCGAATTATATGTTTTTATATTTTGAAATTATTAACAAATTGTTAATGTCAGTTAACTAAATTACAAAAATGATGCTTTATTGCTAGCAATAAAACGACTTTTCTTCATAACAACAGCTTTTTCATGCTAGTAGAAAGCTTAAAAAATAACCTGTAAAATTAAAGCTAAATCCAACCTATATTTTATTCATGGTATTTATGATTTTTCTTAATAAAAATGTTAAATAGAAGACGATTTATTTTATCGAAGTTAAAACTAAAAGGACTATGCTATTGCCGACTAGTTTCGACACAAACAAATGTAGGTGAAATAGAAGTCCCCTTTTCAAACGGGTGAGTATTTATAATGCTAATATAGTAACAATACTAATTTTTCAGAGTTTTGGGTTGCATCACGTCAAAGGTCAAAAACCTATTTGAAATTGAACTAAAGTGTTATAACTACCTCATTAAAGATAGAGATTCTAGACCTACTCTTCTTCTCCTTTATTCTCTTAACACCCTAATTCTGGTAGACAGTATTGTTCATCCTTACTCTAAAATTATATCTGATGGGCATGATTCATGTGATGCCCACATGAATGGCATCGTAAGTACTAGCTCAGATGCCAGCTCAGTCAAAGTACACTTCCCTATTATTCCTAATTCAAGGCCCAAAAAACTACCATCAATATGATTGCTGGTGATTTCTATAAATTAAAAATCTAAAAATGAGTTTTGTATTTGGAATTAGCTATTGTATAATAACTATGAAAAAATTGAATATTTTAGAACAACATTGAAATTGTCAACGGGGCGGTATGCGAGGTTTGCAGACGGGGCATGTGTGGCCACACTGGGCAACACCAGCGTGCTCGCTACCGTGGTAGCCAAGGCCAAGGCCGGTGCCGCCTCCTTTTTGCCTCTGGTGGTTGACTACAGACAAAAAGCAGCAGCTGCGGGACGCATACCCACCAATTTTCTTCGGAGGGAGCTGGGTATTTAACTTTATGATTAATAAAGGGCCTCAAAATTTAGGTAGTTAGTATTTTCTTTTTTTTTATATCATAAGGTGGCAAACGAGCAAGCTGCCACCTGAAATCGCTGAAATAGCGAAGTGACCGTTGCCCATAGACATACGCAAATGCATATGTGTTGCCTACCTTTAATCAACGGAGGAGAGGATGCACAGAAAGAAAACATTTCCATGCATCCTCTTAATGAACTACTGAAACGGTTTTAGTAGTGAGGGTGGTGGAGTGCCGTGCAGCTAGCTGCATGTAGTGTGTGTGCGCGCGCAGGACCCACGGAGCGGGAGATCTTGACCTCGCGGCTGGTGGATCGCTCGGTGCGACCGCTCTTCCCGCAGGATTTCACAAGCGACACACAGCTGGCGTGTAATACGCTAGCCGTCGACGGCACCAATCCGCCAGAGACGGTCGCCATCAACGCGGCCAGCGCCGCCCTCGCCCTCTCCGACGTTCCCTGGCATGGACCCATCGGGGCAGTTAGGTATGGAGTATGCATATGCAAAATATTAATTACATCATAATGTTACAATTCGAAGTGGTGATGATGTAACGTGAGGAGATGAGTGGCGGCTCAGGTTGGGGCAGATAGAGAACGAGCTGATCGTGAACCCGACGCGGCGCGAGCTGGAGCGCTCCAGCCTGAACCTGGTGGTGGCGGCGGCCGGCGGGAACCTGGTGGTGATGCTGGAGGGCGGCGCCAAGGACGTGCTGCAGCAGGACCTGCTCAAGGCCATCAAACTAGGTACGAATGTAAGTCCAACCTACTTATTACAGAGTCAAATTTTTGTTATTGATTTTTGTTACACATTTTTTGGATTTCCGAAATTCTCAGAAACAATTGCATTTCCTGAGGTCTGTCTCCCGTGAAAAGAAAAAATAAAAAAACAGCATAACTCCATAACGCTGACACAAGTGATGTGCAGGTGCGAAGGAGGCGCAGCACGTGGTGCGCGCCATCGAGCGGCTGGCCAGCGCGCACGGCAAGCGCAAACGCGAGTACGCACCGCCCCCCCACCTGCCCGGGGACGTCGCCGACGCCCTGCGCGCCCTCTGCACCATGAAGATCAGAGAGATCCTCAGGTCTGCCCCCCACACCCACCTCCTCCCCGCCCCTCCCCGCCCCTCCAGCAGCGGCCGGGGGCGTTCCGAGACTGAGCCTCTGTCCCTCGTGCAGCGACTTCAGCCACGACAAGACGTCGCGCGACGCGGCGCTGGCCGAGCTGCGGCAGACGGCGGTGGCGCAGCTGCGCGACGCCGGCGACCCCGCCCTCCTCGTCGACTGCTTCAACGCCCACCTGCGTCAGACCTTCCGCGACCTCATCTTCGAGACCGACGTGCGCTGCGATGGCCGCGCGCTCGACGAGCTCAGGAAGATCAACTGCGAGGTAGGCGGTAGCGGACCGAGTGAGGCGCGTGAGGCTCGTGAGGCGCGAGGCTGAGGGCGCGGGCGGGATGTTGCAGGTGTCGCTGTACGAGCCGCTGCACGGCAGCGCACTGTTCCAGCGCGGGCAGACGCAGGTGCTGTGCACCGTGGCCTTCGACTCGCCCGACAGCGCGCTCAAGCTGGATCCCCTGACCGCCATCACCAGGTACTACCGTCGAAGCGACCGCGCACCCTCCGACACTTCCTCCGGAAATTTTAAGATGAGCGCTATGTAAAATATGCATCAATTGTACACAAAATAAATTGTCATCTATTTCATTTCATTTTTCAGTTATTATCAAATAATTTAATATAACAGTTAAACCGTTGTACAGCGGCACCAAGGAGAAGAGCTTCTTCCTGCACTACGAGTTCCCGGCGTACGCGACCGGCGAGGTGGGCGGGGCGCGCGGGGCGGGGCCGGCGCGCCGCGAGGCGGGACACGGCGCCCTGGCCGAGCGCGGCCTCGCCCCCGTCGTGCCCCACCAGCCCTACACCGTGCGCCTCACCGCAGAGGTGCTCGAGTCCAACGGCGAGTACTCCTCCCGCACCCCGCACACCCACACCCTTCACCCGGCTGCGCTGACTGCGCTGACTGTGCACCTCCCGCAGGCTCGAGCTCCATGGCGTCGGTGTGCGGCGGGTCGCTGGCGCTGCTGGACGCGGGCGTGGCGCTGAGCGCGCCGGCCGCGGGCGTCGCCGTCGGCCTCGTGTCGCGCTACAAGGACGGCGCGCTCTGCGACTACCGCATCCTCACCGACCTGCTGGTGAGCGCAGCTCTCCCCCCCACCTCTCCCACCCCTCACCCCAACACTGACGCCGAGCTGTTGCAGGGCATCGAGGACTACATGGGCGACATGGACTTCAAGGTGGCGGGCACGAAGCGCGGAGTGACCGCGCTGCAGGCGGACGTGAAGACCGCCGGCCTGCCGCTCAAGGTTGTCATGGAGGCCGTGCAGCGCGCCTGCGACGCCAAGGCGCGCGTCATCGACATCATGAACAAGTGCATCGACCGGCCGAGGTACGTGGCGGGGTGGGGCGGGGGCGGGAGCGGGGGCGGCGGGCACTGACTGGGGGCGTGTGCGCAGGCAGGACCGCAAGGAGAGCCTGCCGGTGACTGAGGAGCTGGCGGTGGAGCCGCACGAGCGCGCGCGGCTGCTGGGCCCCGCCGGCATCAACCTGAAGCGGCTGTACGTGGAGACGGGCGTGCAGCTGAGCGCGCTGGACGAGCGCCGGTTCGCGGTGTTCGCGCCGAACGCCGCGGCGCTGGAGGAGGCGCGGGCGCGGCTGGAGGGCTGGCTGAGCGCCGAGCGCGCGCCCGACCTGGAGTTCGGCGCGGTGTACACGGCGCGCGTGGTGGAGCTGCGCGACTGCGGCGTCATGGTGACGCTGCACGCCGCGCTGCCGCCCGCGCTGCTGCACAACTCGCAGCTGGACCACCGCAAGGTACGTGGGGTGGGGGTGGGGGTGGGGGGCGGCGTGTCGTGTCGTGACGTGTCGTGACGTGTGTGGGCGTGTGCAGGTGCAGCACCCGTCGGCGCTGGGTCTGGCGGTGGGCTCGGAGATCCACGTGAAGTACTTCGGGCGGGACCCGGTGTCGGGTCAGATGCGACTGTCGCGCAAGGTGCTGACGGCGCCGCCCCCCGGGACGCCGCGCAACCTGGACAGGAGGTAGCGCCGCAACATTACCAGGACGATGTGTGACGTCACCCCGGACACTAATTTTGTTTCATTGTAAATTCCACGATAGTGAGTAAATTAAATGTGTAAATAACGATTTTTTATTTTATTTTTTAATAAGTACTAGCTGTCGCCCGCGACTCCGTCCGCGTGGATATATAAAAAAACTTAATTAGTGTGGCCTACGTGTTCTTTCAAGCTATGTTTTATACGTAGGCCAAATTTAATCGAGATCCGTTCTAGAGATATCTTCAAACACCCATCCATCCATCCACATCACATCCATCTAAACATTCGCATTTATAATATTAGTAAGTTAAATAAAAATAAGCTTTTCAAGGCATGAATTCGAAAAAAAATAGTATCCTATGTCCGTCTCCTGGCGCTAAGCTACCTCCTCAACAATTTTCAACCACATCGGTAAAACTGTTCTTGAGTTATAATTAGTGTAACTAACACGACTTTCTTTTATATATAGAAGATATAAGCGCAGATGCCTTTTTACAAGTTCATCATCAGCTTAATAAACGTCCCTACCGAGGGGCTCCGAGCCTACCATAAGTTAGGGGTGACAAGGCCATAGTCAATCACGCTGGTCAAGTGCGGGTTGGTTGACTTCACACATATCTTTGAATTTCTTCTCAGATATATGCAGGTTGCATCACGATGTTTTCCTTCACCGTAAGAATGTCGGATAAATGTACATATGTAAATCGGAAATGGAAAAACACATTGGTACATGGCGGGATTCGAAACTAGGACCTGCAGATTGCAAGTCGAGGGTTCGATTCCTGAGCCATCGAAACTCATTTTACAAGTTCCCATGAAATAATAAAAAAAACGTATTTATCGAAAGAAATAAAGAATGTGAGGAAGTGTGGTCCGATACCGGAGCCTGGCAGACTGGGTTTGCCTGCAGCTGGGCGCCGGACGGCGAGAGGATCAGGAGGCGTGTCAGCAATCTGCGCTCACAACATCGTATCATCAGCACATGAAGTTGTAATTGATTATAATGCGGCAACTTGCACGCAACGTGTCGGAGGACTCGGCAGCAAACCGTAAGAAAGTAAACGTGCAGGAAACGTGTCGCCGCCAACTTGCCGTGTTAAGTTGTCGTCTGTATCGTACTTGCCACAGGTAATTTATTATTAGGATGGGCTCTTCAAGTATTTAATATATTTATATAAAGAAAACTCATAATAATTTTATATATTTATTGCAAGAAATAATCTGTACAATATCTAAGTAATATAATATCGTATCACAAAAGGACGTTTTGTCGAAGGCACTATATAGTAGTAGATACTCTTAAATAACATCAAACAAAACAAAGTGATTGTCAAAAAATAAAGGAGTCGACGTCGCCGGCGCCTCCTCCTTCTCCTTTTCGCTAAACATTATTAAATAAATAAAAAAATATTAATTACAAAAACAAGAACATGTCAAAAGCTGTACACGTCGTTTATTTAATACTTGCAGTCTTTGATTTCGTTGTGACTACAGCAGCCAGCCCTCGCTACACATTTACCACTATTTACAATATTCCGTGAAAATAATTGCTTTACTTGTATAGGAATATGCTCTGCGCAGAGCCTCGGCCCGAGCCGCAGCCGCAGCCGCAGCCGCAACCGCACACTATACACTATAAACTAAAACATACAAAGCACAATCATAAGCAACGGACAATATATGTATGCGCACGCGACACGCACGCGGCAAGCTCGCGACACACACGCGGCACACACTCGGCAGCCTGCAACGCTCAGGTACGCTCATACCAAATTAACCTTTGATTTTGCAAAATCAAAACATAATAATAGCAAGTGGTTCGCTTCGTTTGGACTAATATCAATATTATTTTGTCATGATGCGTGGGCGAGTCGCACTCCTTGGCAAGAATATAAAGTGGCAGCTCACGTCTTCACGTCTCGCGCCCCATCTGCATATCTATATTACTTATTGTAAATCATAAATCATAAATAGTTATAAAATGTCTGCAGTGAGTGGGGTGGGGGTGGGGGTGGGGTCAGTGGCTGAGGCCGAAGAGCTTGAGGGCGTTGAATGCGGTGGCGAGGGCGACGTCCTGCGCACTGCGGCCGAGGAAGCCGGCGGCCAGCTCGACCACTGCGGGCAGAGCGCACGGCTCGTTGCGCTGGAACGTGCAGTAGCGGTTCACGAAGTTCATGGACCTGCGGACACGCGGCCTGCATCAGTGTCGCGAGTGGGGCGGGGCGGAGAGGGCGTGGCGTGGTGTGCGGGGTGGGCGGGGCTCACCTCTCCGTGAGGCAGGACTTGACGTGCGGCGGCAGCTTGGAGGCGCGCACGTTGGGGTACATGAAGGGCGAGTCGGTCTCGACGAGGAGGCGGTCGAGCGGCAGCAGGCGGTCGGCCAGCAGGCGGCGCACGCCGTCGGCCGCCTTGTCCTTGCACACGTAGCCGGTGAGCGCCAGGTAGCAGCCGCGCTCCAGGTAGCGCAGGCCCTGCTCCGCCGACCCGGTGAACGAGTGCACCACCACCGGCGGCAGCCGCGCACCGCCCTCCTCCAGGATGCGCAGCACGTCCTCCTGCGCCGCCTTCTCGTGTACCAGCAGCGGCTTCTGCAGCTCGCACGCCAGCTCCACCTGCAGCTCGCATCACAACGATAAACCTCATTTGACGGATCGGTCAGTCCCGCGCGCGCACCGTGAGCCGCTCGGTTTGCGGAGAGATATTCCTTTTATATAAATCGTTTGCTCCTGTATAATAAATAATACAACGACTCGAGACCGAGGTCACTCGACGCGCCTTAGCCTTAGCACTTGTTCCTTATTAAATTACGTTATGACAACACGACTAAAGAAGACACGCCCCGGCGAAACAGGAATGCCCTCAGACGAGTTGCGTCACACCGCTCTGGAAAAGGGGATCAAAGTACAGCCTAAGACTCTCTGCAACTCGTCATGTCGAAGGGAGTAAGAGGTTATGAGGCGCGGTGACGTCACCGAGGCGAAGGAGTGACGCTCGCCCTCCGCTTATTTTGCTAATTATACCCCAGCGTATTAATAGTTAGGTGTGAGCCGAGGTCGGGGCCTCGCGCCTATACTACAGGACGCAACTTATACATCCTATATCTACAACAAATCACACAAATACTACAAGGAAATATATTTGTAGTTTATCGCACAAGTATAATTGCGTCATCTTCACAAGGGACAAATAGAAGTGGCATCATTTTGAATGGCAACAGATGTGTCTGCACTTGTCACCAATGACGCGGTGACAGGCGGCGGGTGATGATGTGCAGGGGCGCGGCCGCTGAGCTAAATATACAGCGGCCGTGGTCGGGCGGGTGTCGAGTGTCGAGTGTCGGGATCATTTCATAATGCAAGTAATATCACGTCCACGTTCGTATCGATGTATCAATAAACGCATTTAACATTAATTGTATAAAAAGCGTTCCACACAGTGAGTCATATAATTCTCCTCGCTTACTAGTATTATACATTACGAGAAGCGGTTAGGATTGTTATATGTACATTCATTGCTTCGCAACAAGTACATTCCCCACTCGTAATATAATAATGTTTGCTAAAAGATTGTAAAAGGCGACGGAGGAGAGTCCTGCCCCGCTAGAAACTTGCGGCCTGAGACCCGAGGCCTGCGACGCCGAGGCAATGATAGATCCGCTTTGACAACATTATATATTTAAGGAAACATGTGGATGTTGGTGTGATTAAAAAAATAAATCGATTTATTTAAAACACGCCCCGAACAAAGCGTTCAGGCGGACAACTGTACACGGTTTCAATATTGGCAACATGGTCGGACAAGATGCTAAGCATCATTCTAAGGAAAGCGAATTTATTACAAATTGTAATAAGCGCTGTAATATAAAGGTCTCGCGTTGTGATCATTATATTGTCGAGTGTCGGGGGCGCGACCAGAGTGGACACGATTGCTCGCTCCGAGGCTCAAGATTGCCTGACATTGCTTCAATGAACGTTTCAATCTAATTAAGGTAGAAAAATGTAGTACTTATCAGTAATTGAATCTGTTGCGACAGATGCAATTAGCGTGGCCGAGTGGTGCAGAGTGGGGCGGTGGGGAGTGGGAGGGGTCGTTGTCGCTCTTAGGCATGTCGTAATCAGTTCAGATTCGCCACATCTTAGAACTCTGAGTGTGGCCATGCAGACGTCACAACGAGTTAATGTTACCCGACGTTAGCGGAATGTACATATTATATATGGACACTTTGTATTTGTGATAATCTGCAATAAGCCTGAGAAGTGGCAGAGGCGGCCATGATTAAAACATTTATCTAATGGAGCGCAACGTGTAATAAAGAGTCGGGCGCTGATGCTTCACTGCGTCTGTATTAAAACTTGCGATAGGAAGTCACCAAGTCAAGTGACAAACACGTCCGGGCGGCGGTGGTCAGCGCCCGCACATTTCTTACACCTCAAACATTGCAACGATTATGTATTTATATGCGAGTGCCCTCAATTCGGCGGGATATTTCATTCTTGTAACATGTGTATGAAAACATTTTTAATATAAAAATATATAAGTAAGTAATCGAGTGGTGTGGAGTACCTGCCGCTTGAAGACGGCGCGCTGCACGTGGGGCTCGGAGAAGTCCTTGGTGTAGTTGAGGCCGCACTCGCCGAGCGCCACGCACTCGGGCGCCGCCGCCACCTGCCGCAGCTCCGCCCACAGCTCCTCCTCCGCCATCGACTTGGCGTCGTGCGGGTGCACGCCTGACAACGCCACGCACGCACACACTTTTATACATGATTGTTTTAAAAACTGCGCCTTATTGCAGTTCATTACTATTGAAGAACATCATGGCCATTTCCAACAATTCAGACTATACCTTAACTCGTAAACTGTTCAGGTGTTACATGTTACATTAGGTTGGAAAAACTTAAATTCTTAATTGGAACAGATTTTGCAGGACGGGTGATCACATCTACACAATTAACATTGTTGAAACATCATCATGTTTGGAAGTGAAAATCTTATTTAATTAACACTTGTGGTCACAACTAGCGAGTGTAACGAGAGAGGTTGTATTCTTGCATCAACAATACATAAAAATGTATAACATTAAATGCAACATCATTCTAGTTTCATATTATTTTTTACTTTGTTACAAAATGTAGACAAATAGTGAGTTTAAATACATAATAATGTTTATTTACTATACAAATGATATGTGTGCTACACTACACTATATGACTGCTGATGTTATCATTGAGAGGTGCGAGGTCTACACATGTCTCACTGTTGTTATCTTCGACAGATGACATGACATGATAACACTCAAGAAACAAAAAAATAACCTAATTTTCGCCTGTAATTTAGCAAATAGGTATATCTTTTAAGTATTGGATTGCTTCTTAATACCATTACCTTACTATGCCACTTCCACAGAGACATTACTATAATAAACAAAATCATGATAGCGCTTGTTAAAGCTGAGGACTTTAAAATTCATTATAAGACAATTGAAGTGTATTCACAACCCAAAGGGTTCCTACACCGACTGTGCTGTATGAAATACAAATAACAATAGTAAAAATAATCTATCTGTCTCAGTTGTTCTAATCATAATGCAGTTTAAATGCAGTTGCCCAACATACTAATTGTTTTTTTCTTAATACTCTATGTTATATGCAGGACTTTCATTGGTGTGTAGTGTTAAAATAATTGGAGGCGTGGGCTAAGACAATTTCTTAACGTTTTATAAAAACTCTGTTGTTTAGCCTGCTCTGTCTGTGAAAAGTTATTTGGTGGTAAGAAACGCTCGTTCGAGCACATAACACACAAAGGTTACAGACTATACTATCAATCAACTTACCTGCTGTGGAATATATAGTTCCAGGGTACAATCGAGTCAATCGCAGTGCCTCTTTGCTATTTCTGACTGATGTGCCTGTTACCATTATTTTTTGTACGCCTGCAAAAATAAAAAAATATTGTATGCTGCAAAAAGTATGTGCATATATATATATAGTGCTCAGTTTTTGGGGCAATTAGGTACAATTTGTATGATTTATTTGGACAGCTGGTGGCAGCGGGCAGCGAGCAGCGAGCGGCACGCACATCTACTACTGGATGTCGACACATCGCAACATAACTGCACGCAATATTCATGATGCCAGCCGCTCTTCCGTAATGTTAGATTGACACGCACCTGCATCTTTCGCCCTTTGAATTACTGAATCGAGATCGCGACCATACTTTTTGTTTGTCAGATTTGCGCCGATGTCGATCACAATAAGATTTTCATAACAACCCTTCAGTTCCTCCGGAATCTGCGTTTCTTCAGACGTCATCCTTCAATTTGTTTGAAGCTTATTGGTTTGGTGTTTACCTGTGATCAAACCAGATTATTAGTCTCATTTAAAAAAATGCTTTTATTTGAATTTATAGTACACTTACAAATTGTATCAAACACTCCTGCAGAATAAGCTTCTTAAAATTCTAATGACTAGTAAAAATGAACAGTCTTACTGAGCTGCCACCATGTTTTGAAGTAAGTTTTCTTCAAACTTCAGACTTCAGATTTTCTCATTTGAGACAAGTTCTCATTTGTCCTCATTTATAATCCAATTAAATCATATGAAAATGTTTGTTCAGCTTAACATTTAAGTTTCCTATTTGACAGAAAAAATTGAATCCTTATTTAATTCGTGGAAAACATTTCCTCCTGTAATAGAGAACAGACTTTTTAACGTTCCGTTTTAGTGTTTCTTTTAACCAAAAATTATCTCAGACTCATGTCTCATTAATTTTTGTTACCAAATTCAAAGAGTATATAAAATATGACCTAATTATAAGAAAGCGTTTCTTATGTTGAACTGTTTTTTACTAAAGACTAAATTTCACCTTTAACACTTACATTCAGTAACAACATGTGTTTAGTGTTTTATAAAAAAAACACAAGTAAATCAAAACATAAAAGTACGTGTGAACAATCCTCATCATCACATGTGAACAGTGATCTGACTTCAGATTATCAATTTTATAGAGTTCCAAAGTTTCAATGTCTATTCAATTCCATTTTAAATCCAAAACAACACTTCACATTGACATAACGACATAACGTTGATTGACATTGACAGAATGAAATGTTTGTTTTTGGACATAAATGTTATGCAAAGAACTATAACCTAAAAATAAAATAAAATACTATTGTTGTTAAGAGTTAGTTATCACGTGAAGACTAACCATGAACGTAAAACGATTTTTTTCTAAAAATTTGGTGGTGGTCGTGATGGTCCCAGCTATTATAGGAGCACATTATGGCTGGGCTAAATTGCAAGGTATTGACTACCTTGTTGGTCCTGATGATAGGAAAAAATTGCCTTTTGCCTCGGTAAGGTTATTTTTCTAATACTGAAAATATTTAACTATTGTTTTTTTAATTTGACAAAATTAAGTTAAGATAAATTTAGAAAATAAAGGCCGCAAGGTAGAAAAGCAAACCCAGTCATTGAAATACCACAAAACAACGAATGAGACAACAAATCTTATTCAAAATTCGTGATAGCAATAATCTAGGTATTAATTGTTAAAATAATAAATGAGAAGTTAAATGTAGAAATTATGATTTTAGCTCTTCAAAAAGGACTGAGATAAGTTTAACTACGAAGAAGATTGTTAATTACTGTATATAATTAGGTTAAAAGATGTTAGAGGGATAAAAATTTATTACCAGCAGTCCTACATTTACAGAACAATATGTAAACAGATGTTACAGCAAACACAATTGAACTATAAAAAATAAACTGCTAAATTTAATAATAAAACTTTTGAAGTAGCAGTGTTACAAAAAAAATAGAAGATAAGAGATGAAACTGAGTAAAAAATTATAACCAATTGCATTGTTTTATTTGAATGTCCTTAATCCTTTCTTTACTTGAATCTGTTTTTTTCTGCCTTTTGGTTTTTTTGTCAACAATATAGCAACAATAGCTTTCCCTGTCATAGCCATTGTGAGCCAAAATGAGTAAACTTTAGGGATGTACGATTTATCTGTACAGTTTCAACTGCACTGGTTTACTGTACAAATAAAAGTGAAGATGTGCACCATTCATATAAGAATTCTCTTACAGCAGCATCATGCCATAGAGAGAGGATCTACTTATATAGATGTGAAAATACTTTAATTTCCTGTGTTTGTTGGCTAATAGGACTGAGCTTTTACTGAATAATCATATACTCAAGTATGATTGCATTGAATTTTAAATATGAATACAGGCAATCATTATTTGATTAAAGCAGGCGGGTATAAAGAAAAGATATATGCTTTTGCTGTATAATTTATTGCGTGCGCGTTTGCGTGTGTGAGTCGAGCAGGGGGGCGAGCGGCGCGCGGCGTCAGATGGTGGGCAAATGCGCGCGCTCGGGCGGCTTGTGGCGCGGAGCCACGCGGCCGCACGCCAGCGCCGGCAGCAGCGGCGACGACTGCACCTGCACAGTGCACCACACCAACACGCGCTCCGCTACACACACAAAAGTATTAACACAGATCGTACTTGCTGACAAGGTATTATAGGTCCTAGATGGCCTTATTGGTTGCCTCCGTTGGTCCGAGTGCGAATCATAGGTATTCTGTACATTGTCGTTCATATTAGTACACTTAAGTCAACGTTTATAAGTAGTTGTTTTCGTTAGATTTCCCTATTTGACCAAGCATGCATGTAACAGTCGTACCGTTCGTAACGATCTTTATGGAAACTTTTTTCTGACGATGTCTAGCGAAGAGTAAATCAAGTTTAAAAAATTAACTAATAATTAATTTAATCTGTATAATGTAACTGCTAACCGCAATATCGCGACACTAACATAGCAGGAGCCCAATTTTATTCAGCGGACATTCATTTTTTCTTGCTGCTTTTCTTTTTCTGTAAACTCGCCGTGTCCTGTGAGTTTTGCTGCGAGGTAGTTGACTCCGATTGTCGCTTAGTCGCCGACTGCTGCGGGGGAGGATCGGGGTGAGGAAAGTGCGTGGGGAAGGACAAATTTATTCCAAGGAGAAAGTTATTTTCATATGAACGAGTTGATACCTGTCCCCGGCGTGCCTTGTCGTAGTCGTGGTGCGGGGGCGGAGGCACGCTGAAAAGGAAGTTCTCGAAGAGCGAGTGCCGCAATAGCTGCTCGCACGACCACCGCGACACCGGGTCTTTGTCCAGGCACCTCTGTATATGACAAGGCGGTGCATTGTGTGACAAAATATACCATTTAGGCAGACCATTAGCAGAAATTAGAATAGAATCAATAGGGAATTACTTTTAAGAAGTCCATGAGCTGTTCGTTGTTGGCGCAGCGCTGCGGGATCCTGGCCTCAAGCGGCTGCAGCTGACCGGGCTCGGGCAGCGCCATGCCCTGCGGACACCGCGCCCACCAAGGTTATTACAACACTCCGTGAGTTCTGTCGGCCTGGTTCGTCGAGGGCGGAGAGTTTACCTGGAAGAATGTATTTTGCGAGAAGATAGTCATGTGTCTCGGCAGAAGGTCGCCCAGCGTGCAGCGGATGAGGTGTAGCTGGTCCAGGTCGCTCTTGCCCGGCCAAAGCGCCTCGCCCGACACCAACTCCGCGAACACACACCCTGTAACACCACAGATACAGATGCACCTCTATCTGATGATATTAGGATCATTTCGGAAAACAATATTTCAACAATAACTAAGTGTGGAAGTGGAGGTGACTGCGGCGACTCACCAATGGCCCAGACATCGACGGGCGGGCCGTACATGGTGTCGCCGACGAGTAGCTCGGGCGCGCGGTACCAGCGCGTCGCCACGTAGTCCGTGTAGCTCTCTCCGGGGCCTGGGCATGTAGACGCACGGCCAGTCAGCTAACTACCACACCGCAACTCTACATGTAGTGTGTTCCGCTGGCGGCTCACTCACGAGTGTCTCCAGTATTGTGCATGCAGCGTATGCATCGCAAACACATCACGCTACTGTGTAGAGACATAGACTTCTAGGCCTCTCATTTAATTCATTTATAATTAATTGTAGTGCAATGAATACTAATATCACTACATTATAGTATATATACAGCGACCTAAGTATTATTTGTAAACTTGTAATAAGTAAATACGTATATTTATACTAATAGTGAACGAAAGAGCTAACATAACCCCTCCACCTGTGTACATCTCGTTTAGCAACACAAATCAGAAGTTCCGTGGGCTTTAGCTAGTTGTAGCTAATGAATACTTTACAAAACACGACATTTTTTGCATATGCATAGATACGTGTATATGTACATACTTTATGAGATAACTAAGCAACGAGTTGATGGCAACCGCCGCCGCCGCTGCCGCTGCCGCTGGTTGCAATCAAGTCCATCAACCAATTCAAAGAGTGCGGCACGTGAGCAACGACGCGTGTATATTATATCGCATTGCTACATATGCTATATTACCTAATCACAATATCTTATTGCAAGTATTATCAAATTCAACTTATCACACCTTGTGCGTACTTACTAAACGTTAATAAACTAATGAAACTACGGCTAACTAATTAGATTTCGTTGTATAATTATATCGCAGAATTGACATTTACTAGCTCTCTTCCTGACGTCCACGCCGAAAGGGATCATGGTGTGCACCGAGTACTCGGAAGAGCAGCTGCCACCTGGGGACGCCACCGCTGTCTCAGGACTTAGGCAGACAAGGCAAGGATAAGGGATTTTTATGGATGGTTGAAGGTCGCAGTGAAAGGAACGACCGCATCTTTATCGTGTGATAAAAACTTTATGGATTTATTTTAAGAACACACCGTAACCGCAATAAATTTGGTTTACTCCTAGGAGCCTACATGCCCAAACATAGTCGATGAGAATAATAGGGCATGGTTTGGCGGCGGGCGAGATGGGGGAACTCTAGCTGCCGCAACTTGTGTGTGGCTGGAGATGGGAGGGTAACAGCTCAACCCTTATTAATGAGGAATTTTATAGCATTGCATAAATATTAATTATAACAAGTTCGGAGGCGTGTGAGCGTGGCGTACGCACTGATCATCCGCGCGAAGCCGAAGTCGCACAGCTTGACGACGCCGTCGGCCGTCAGCAGGATGTTCTCGGGCTTGACGTCGCGATGGATGCAGTTGTGTCGGTGACAGTACGCAACACCCTGCAGCGTCTGCCAGATTATCTGCTTCGACAGCAGCTCGGGGCAGCCCTGCACACACACAAACACACACCTTATCCCCTTTGTCACACACGAGTGGTATCTCACACACTTGATGATGTAACCTTCAACTGAGCATAGTGTAATTGTGGTCATTATTTAGACAGGTTTTTGGTAGCTTGGCTCACTCGATGCATTACCACGACCACACAGAAGACAGCTTAAAGTGGAAATCATTCCGTGTTTCGTTCGATGAGTGTGCGTGCTGGCGGCCTAAGTACCGTCTTCTCAGGAATTGGACTTAAAGGAGGAGGTCGCTTCACTATTTCGTCGAAATCAGGTGACCGCTTGCAACCTATTATATAATAGATAAGGTAAATGATCTTTATATTTGATATCCAGTTCTTGTAAAGGAGAAGGGTGAGTATCTGTAACCTGTAGAGGTTTGTCGAGCTCGCCGAGTTGCTCAACAAACACATTTGAATAATGTAATACACACCTATCGTATTGTACGTAGTCTCCGGACCGGACGGAAATCGACATGTTCAGGTTCGATCCCCGCCATGTAACAATGTGTTTTAACGGATTCTCATCTTATTTATCCGACGTTATTACAGTGAAGGAAAACATTGTGATGCAACCTACACATTACATATTACATCTGCGATTTTTTTTTTTTTTTTTTTTTGTGACTGATTGCCACTGTTTGCCTTGAGGAGGCATTTACAGCTTCACCGGGCTTGAGGTGGCCGAGCGCAGATGGCACTTAGCCTAAACCTCGTTTAAGAGTAACTAAGCTCGAGGGCTCCCTCAGGAACCTCGGCTCGGGCCGTTACTTCGTTATTATTACCGGATTGGGAGGCTGCCGAGCTCTTAGGTCGCTTCGGTGGACGCTCCATGGAGTGACGGGGCTCAAGGGCCCCCGAGAGGGGGCCTCGGCTTGGGCTGTCACTCGATACGCGTTTAGCATTCCGATTCAAGGGTGCCCGACGGGGCCGAACCTCGGCTTGATCGGTTGCTGTTTCCTGATTATTATTAGTTCTGATGCATCTAATATTACTACCACTTCGGAAAGCGTTAGCGCTGGGAGAAGAAGTGGCGGAAGAAACTCCAGCTACGCTTCTATCGTTGACAGGTGAAAATCTGCCTGCTATGAGGCCATATCGTGAGAATGATTGCCGTAGCCGGCAGCGACTGGGATGTGTGGTGTGACTGCGAAGTTGTTTAACCCTAGCCTGAGCGATGGTAGTTGCGTCATCTTGAAAGTCGAGGACGTGCCTAGGTCTACGATAATC